CGGGTTGTGCTGGTGGCTTGTTTGGCTGGTAACTGAATGATCTGAGGTTCCAGTCCACCCAGAGGTGCCTCAAAAGAAAGGTATGGAGATCTACTTTTAAAAAGCAGTCACTGAAAACTCTATGCAACATACTTCTATTCTCATAGTTATGGGGTGACTCACACCAGGAGTAAGAAACATGGCAACTGGTTTTTGTTTTTTTTTCATGTTAAATTTAAACCAGAATCTAATATTTATAAAGAAATGTTCTTTGATGACCAGTAGATGAATTATCTTATTAAAATACTCAGTTTTCTAAAAGTACCCTGCTATCAGCTAAGGTTTCCTTATGATCCTTCAATCTGCCTGGCTCAACATGATAGAGGAGAAAGAACTTTGACTAGGGGACCTGGGTTCACTCCAGGTTCTGCTATTTATGAGCAAGTCACTTAACTTTGAGCTTTAGTTTTCTCATGTATGTGACAGGAATAATAGCATCCACCCTAACGACCTCACAAGTGCATTGTAAGAATCAAGAGAGATAACAAGTGTGAAAACACTTTCTAACCGACCAAGTGCAACACTCCAAGGCTACTTATAATGATGTTTATGGACCTGCCTTGGCTTCCCCTCTAGAACTTTCTCCAACTTCCCTCTTCCTATGTAAATCTTTCCCACAGTTCAAGGTCTAATCTAGATCTGATATTTTCCTTCCAGCTTTGCTTTTGTTCATTGCCTTAATAGTTCACTTTGTCATTTATTATTCAGAGACATGGTACAGTGGGGTGCTTCAACTCTGGCTGACTGGAATCTCAGCTCTGGCGATTCCTACTTTGGCAGGTTATCTATCATTTCTAAGCGTCATCTATAAAATGGGGATAATAATGACTCACAGATTTGCTGTAAAGATAACTGGAGATCATTTATGTAAAGTACTCAACTAAACATCTTGCTCAAACAATTGTAGCAGTTATTATTACTATATATTGCTCCTTAAATGTTAACTGAATTTTTCCTATCTCCCCAAATGGACTATTATAATCCTTCAGAGCAGGATTTCTGTCCCATCCATTTCTTATGCTATCCCCAAACCTACTCTCATTCCAGAAAAGTGCTGAATTCATAACATTTTCTCAAAAAATACTTGCTGAATTTATTTAAATGAATTGAATTGTTTTCCTCCAAACAGTATTTAAATGTTTATCATATTCCCATCAGCAGCTAGTTTGGGAAAGTCAATGTCCACAAGATAAAGTAATCTTCTCTGACTCTAGTATCAAATTTAAAATCTGGGAGTAACTCCCAAATTACTTCACCAAAACCATTTACACAAGAACTAGAAAGAACACCTATAGATCTGCCCTACCACACTGAAGGCATGACATTAGTTAAACTGCCTAAAAATACTCTAGAGAAATGGATTTGATGTGGGAACCTCTGCCAAAGTCTGGAGCACTTTCCCCGCCCCAAGCCCTATGCTAAATTCATAGGTGCAAGCAGTAATAAAGTTAATACAGCAAATGCTATACAACATCCCCAGGGTTTTTCGGTACTGACCAAACCAAACCCAATGCAGACTCTGTAGGACAGAGTTGATCTACCCCATAGGGTTTCCAAGGTTGTAATCTTTACAGAAGCAGACTGCCCCATCGTTCTCCTCTGGAGAAGTTGGTGGGTTCAAACTGCTGACCTTGCCATTCTCAGCTGAGCACTTAACACTGTGCCACCAGGACTCCTTTTTAGTACTGTGAAGTACATGTGAAACAACTGTTTTTGGTATTTTAGTAGCAAACTCCCTTGGGTGTCATGAATCTTATACAGAATCCTACACCTCAGTAAGTCTCTTGCAAATGACAAAATAGGCATCATTTAAATCTATCTTTTGAGAATTGTTGGTTGTGTTGCTAAGGGCCGTCAAGTTGGTTCCAACTCAGAGTGGCCCTGTACAGGAGGAGCAGTTGGTGGGTGTGAACCACCAACCATGCAATTCAAACTGACCTTGCGGTAGGAGTGCTTTTCCTATAGTGCCATACCAGGACTAACTATAAACACAAAAACTGCAAATATTATATTGTCACAACAAATTCTTAATTTCCAATGTCATCAGTAAAATACTGGCATTTGCTCTAGATATTAAGTTTGTATAATTATTTGTTCTTCCACTGTTTTTTAAAAAATTGACCTGGAGATCACAAAACAAAAATGTTTTTTAGGAATCATTACACTTTCCTCACAATAAGCAAGAGATTGAGAGATATCCCATGGCACACACCTCCATGCTGCTAAATCCTTTGTCTCTTGATAGATGACGTCTTTGACCAATAACTGAAAATGTATGACAAGCCTGATCTTCCATTACTGTTCTCCTATCTTCTTGGACGCGGGCTAGGAAAGCAGTAATGTCTGTTGCCTTTGCAAGTATGCATTTCCTGAATTCTGACTAGCATCCTCTTGTTCCCCAGTCTCCCCTTTTTAGACTCAAAATTAAGTTACTCTGTGTTAATGCGCCAGACTGCAAAGCCGTTTGAACTACAAGGTCAGAGGTTCAAGCTCACCAGCTGCTCCTTGGAAACCCTATACAGGGTCGCTATGGGTTGGAACTGGCTCGAAGGCACTTAACAACAACATAGCAACTTAAGGAACGCTGGTAGCGTAGTGGGTACGAGTAGGGCTGCTAACCTCAGTCAGCAGTTCAAAACTACCAGCTGTTGCACAGGATGAGGCTTTCTGCTCGCATAAAGTTTTATAGCCTTAGAAAACCTATACAGCGTCACTATGAGTTGCAACCGACTACAGCACACAACCATAGCAACCTTACTATTTTCCAAGTATACAGCAGAAAGGGGGAAAAAGCCAGCTTCTTTGGAGACTAACTAAATCAAGAACATGATGTACCATTCTTCAGATAAATGTAAATTTTCTACCAAGGCAAATCCTCTATTTCAAATGGCAAAGTCAGAATTACAACTGATCAAGATTAGGGAAATGAAAAGAAAACAAAATCAACAACAACAACAAAAAAACAGCAACAATAACCCCACTGCTATCAAGTGGATTACAATTATAGCGACCCTATAGGTGTGACATTGTGGGTTAATGCGCTGGACTGAGAAGTGGATTTGAATAGTGAGGTCAGCAGTCCAAGCTCACCAGCTGCTCCTTGGAAACCCTATACAGAGTCGCTATGGGTAGGAATGAATTTGAGGGCTCTAAGGAGCTCTGGTAGCGTAGTGGTTACAAATCGGGCTGCAAACCTTAAGGTCAGGGGTTCGAAACTACCAGCCGCTCCGCGGGAGAAAGATGAGGCTTTCTACTCCCGTAAAGATTTACACCCTCGGAAACCCTGTACAGGGTCGCTATAGGTCGGAACAACAACAACAACATCAACATAGATTTCCGAGACTGTAAATCTTAACTGGAGCAGAAAACATCCTCTTTCTCTAGTGAAGCAGTTGGTGGGTTTGAACTGTTGACCTTGTGGTTAGCAGTCCAATGTTTATCCTGCAACGTCACATCAGGCTCCTCAAAAAGAATACAATCCAAGAATATTCTGTTTCCAGACCATAGTATTTCACTTGATTATTAACCTCGGGATTTTTTTTTTTTTTTTTCAAACCTCTGAGTTTCTGGTTATCTTAACAACAGTAAACAAGTACTAAGGGCAGTGCTGGCCTGAGCAATACTCTCTCCCTCATTGGAAAGATCTTTACACCTCCTATAATCCCACTTGTAAGAAATACTGACATTTCCCTTAAGTATCTATTTGACTACTTCTCATTCCTTTGCAGCCCCACCCTTTTTCTTCCTTAAAGCAGAACACAGAGATCCAGGTGATAGAACACTACACCCTCTGGTTTTCTGGTTGCTTAATTTGAAGCGAAATGATCTAGTCTACAAGGCAATCCTGCTTCTGAGTCCTATCCATTCTAACCAGTGATCCAGCAATTCTGGTCTTCACTTTTAAAGCCCTTTGCCCTGACTTTCTCTCATTTTCTGCTTCTGTGTTGTGCTGTCCCTAGCCCTCATTCTACTACGTGGGGGTAGAGAGGTGTCCGGAACTGGTAAGGGTGACGCCAAATGCCAACAGTTACTCTCCGTTCCTATTTTATGTACTTCACTCTAGTGGCAAAACCCTAAGTGGTGTTAAACGTTGGCTCGTGGTTTGCAAATCACAATACACATATCCCAGATTCTTCACTGCAATATTTGGACAGAAAACTACATAAAAAGAGGTGACATTTTTTTGGCTCTCTACCTATTTGTCCTGTAGCTGCACTTGTTTAAACGACTCAGAGATGTTGCTTTTGCTCAGCTAGTCCCTGAGGTGAGCTAGGAATGCGAGGCTGGTGAGAGAAAAGTGAGCTGTGGCTAGTCTCTGACCAAAAATGTTGCTGTGAAATGAACACAAAGCCCTGAAAATGAGGAGCTGCTGGGTGAGAAGTAGTACTATCAAGAGGTGGTTAGACAATCACACTTGTGTTTTCTTTACGCTTTTTGACTGTAGATTTAATTTAATTTTGTCATGGCAGGATTAGCAACCAGGCCACAGAGGTGAAGGGACATTATAATAAGACAGCACATTAATCCTCTATCCCACCCAAGGCAGAAGCAAAACCAAACAAATAGCAGCTTCCTGGAAATTGAATTTCTGTTATCCAGATGTCAAAGATGTAATACCCCAATTACACAAACTATTGCCAGTGAATCATGCCAGTGAATATGCAATGTAAATGGGTGCGCGCAGAGCCACAAAACTGCACAGTCAGCATTTGGCTCTGTGAGTGAGTGATAATTAGCACTGTGTGTAGACACTAATAAACATTTATGCCTGAAATTACAACTTTTAGCAATGTTAATAAGGGATATATTGGCAATCTGCAAAATAAAAGGTCTCGAAAAGAATGTCCTACATTAAGCAATGGCTGACATTTCCCGTTCTTGCACTATCTTTTTTTTTTTCCCTTTCTAATTGCAAATGGCCAAGCTGTTTTGCTGAGAAATTAATTGACATAAGAACCTACCTAAAAAAATGGGCTGTGTCTCTTTGGCCTCCCCATTAACATCGCTGCTGAATTCTGAGGCCGTATATACCTCATGGTGATAATCTGGGATGAGAAAACAACCACAAATTAGAATTCTAATGACCTGCAAAATATGAATGAATAGAGTAGAATCCCAGTTAAGACTAGACGCATAATCTATGCCTTGGTTTAGAAATAGAGCTTTTAAGAACCCAGTTAGCCACAGAACTGTAGTCAATAATAATCCATGAAAAACTTTGCTTACTCTGAAGAAAGTATACAACATTGAAATATTACTTTGACTTCAAAAAACAGCTTTGCTTGAGCATATAGTTTTCCCAGTAATTTTGGCCAGAGATGCCAATTATTTAGTTCCTTTCCTTTCAGGTGACAAGTTATGTTTATAAAGAAAAGAAAAACCTCACCCAATCACAGGCCAGAGGAGCTTTTTAAATTTATCTCTAAAACCCATTTTCTTGGGCATATTGATAATGTGCTTTAGAGCCTCTAGCACTGAGTTTTCTCAGTTTATGCAGAAAAAAAAAAAATCCCCTGTCATTAAGCAATTTAAGGGTAAGCATACATGAAAAGTACTGATTTGTTATTTCAAATATTTCATAATTTGGGTAAAGTTTCACCCAAGTAAAACTTTATCATTTAACTAATGTACTTTAATATACAATCGGTTATTTTCTAAAAATTCACCTGCAGAGCAGACAGAAGAATCACATCCTTCATTTAAAAAAAGAAAAAAAACTTGCAAAGTCAATCAAACTTTAAAATACAGTATTTTACAAGCTTCTCTCTGGAGGCTTCTGTGTACATGTGGCAATCTCCTGTTCTAAAAAGTGTGATCACCTAGGTATGAAAATGTAACTTTCCTAACAGTTCTTCCCATTTTGGCCTTAGACCTCACAGGCCAAGGTCTATAAAACTACTCTCACTCTTAAGATAAAGTAGTAAGTTTCCTGAGGTCATAAATATGAAAGCAGCCCACATTCCTGAATGAATCAGATAGCACCAACAGGCTAGTAACATACGGAGAGGCTTTTAAGCACAAGTAATTGAGTAATCAGTACTGCTAGGGGGAAAATGTAGATGTAGAGAGGAAAGAGCTAAATATTTTGAATATATAAAGCTATTTTAGGCCTCTTTCATTAAAATGTCCAAAATAAATTTTGGGGAAAGAGATATGATTAGATCTTCAAAATGTCTATAATCTAACCATTTTCAGACTAAACCAAGGTCGGTTTTGCTGAATCCACATCAGTTAGTTTAGCTTACTTTGAAAACGCTATTACTTGCAAAAGCCTTCTAATTTTCATCAGTTTATATTGGTATGTGACTTCTCCAGGTGGTTAAAACAATCGGGGTTTTTTTTTTTTTTCCCTCTCTCTCTCTCTCTCTCTCCTCTGATGCCAAAACTAGATAAAACATCAGAAAAAAAAAAAAGGGCAGGTCTGTGGTTTTGTTTGGACCTCAAATATATTCAAAGAAGATATTTAAACAGGGTGATTCTATACTCAATATTAGAACTTGTGACATTACAATGAAAAAAGTCGCCTGCCTCTAATTTAAGGAGACAATGCATTTTGAAAGACACATTTGTAAGTCTGTTCCTGTCTTTAGTTCTCATTATTTTAAAAAACGTCAAATCAGGAAAATACTCTAACAAGTAACTGAACAGTCAGACTCCATTCAACTTTACCCTCCTCTAATAACCCAAGCCCAAAGTCTGTCCTGTACACCTGTTAAATGATCAGGAACTAGCAGTATTTTTTTTTTTTAAGATACTTATCTGACTGGTAAGTGATGCACACTGTAAAACACCTTTTCAACCCAAATCACATCTAGAGAAGATGTTAGATATCAACAGTTCTTATCTGGGCTTGTACACTTAATGAGCTCTTTTTTCCTTTCTAAAAGAACAACCTTTTTCTTTCTCTTTGGGGGGAAAAAAATCATTCGTCCAGATTCGTCCAAGCACGGCCTGAAGGAAAGGCAATTCTCCCCCAACCCCCAGCCTAGCCACAGGAGTGGAATACCAAAGAAGGCTCCTTGCTCCCGAAGTGTCATTGTTTGCTAATTTCCTGATATGCCCTCCGACTTGTTTACGTTAAATAACATCCTGCCTACCCCCCTCCCCAGCACAACTTTCCTCGCGGCCGGGCTAGAGCAGCTGCAGCCCCCCTCCGCCGCGGCCCCTCCTCCGACACCCCGCTCGGGAGGGGAGTTTGGGGGCCAGGAAGACGAACCCCGGGAGTTGAAGCCCGCCGCCGAGGGCTAGGGGCCGTGGGGCCCGGCGCGAGGATGTTTACGCCGCGCGAAGTCCTTTCTCCAGCCGCCGGCGCCAACCCGCACGACCCCCGGCCCCCGGCCCTGGCCCACCGCTTACCTCGGTTCACCAGTTTGAAGCTTTGGGATTTCCTGCTTCTTTTCCTTTCGGAGAACTCCATGGTGCTGGGAAGGAGGAAGGAGGCAGGGAATGCGGCCGGGGAGAGGGAGGCGGGAGGGAGAGGGGAGGCGGCGACGGCTGAGGCGGCGGCGGCAGCACTGGCTCTTGTCACCCAGCAGCGGGAGCAGCCAGGACCAAGGTCCGTCTCTTTAATCAGCAGAGGGGAAGAAAAAGGAAAGGAAAGGGAAAACCACCTCGAACGAACTCGGGTGCTTCAGCTTTCGGGTCTCGGTAGGAGGCGGTTTCCCAGGGAGAAGTTGCCCCTGTCTTTTCACCGTCTCCCCGTGTCCTAAACACACACCCCCTTACCCCTGATAATTTCTTTTTTCTTTATAAAACGAATCCGAAGCTGAACTTTCCGTTGGGGACCGAGTTGGGGACAGTGAGGCGGGGAGGAGCGCGTAGCCGGCCGCGGTCT